AAAATGGTCATCACAAGGTTCTGTTTACGCTCCACTTTTAATTCGCCATCTAGTTTGTACTAGGCAAAAGGATAACAACTTCACATTTTTATCAGACGATACCGGATGACTGTGCAGGTCCCTCCATTAAGGAGGATGTTGTTCAATTACAGGCTGTTTTTTATATTATTCAGACGCAGCTCTCTGAGCTTAAGCTACTTTTAAATTTGGATAAAACTAAGGCAATGCCATTTTCAAAAGCTAAAAAGACACCAGAGACCACTTTGAATATTGCTACTACGCAAGGAAAAGTACTTGAAGTGGTTACCTGTTATAAATACCTAGGTATCTGGCTTGATGATTCTCTTACTTTTAAACTTCAGGTCATTCATCTGCTTAAAAAGCTGAGGGTTAGGCTAGGTTTCTTTTTCAGAAACAAGTCCTGTTTCTCGCTTGAGGCCAGGAAAAGGCTAGTGTCCTTTTTACCGGTGCTGGACTATGGGGATTTGAACTATATGAATGCACCTGCCCATTGCCTGATCAAGTTAGACGCCGCCTATCACAGCGCACTGAGATTTGTTGCTAACTGTAAAGCACTTACACATCACTGTACCCTGTATGCCAAGGCAGGTCTGCCTTCACTAACTGTACGGAGACTCAGTCATTGGTACACGTTCATATACAAAGCCATGCTGGGTAAACTACCACCTTACATCTGCTCACTGATATCATAGAGAGTCGCAAGTAGCTATTGCCTGAGATCCCAGGATGTGTTTTTATTTCATGTACCAAGTGCTAGGACTGTTTTAGGCACTAAAGCTTTTATGTGCGCAGCTCCTCTAGCATTATGTTGTATGTGTCCTTTTTGTTTTCTGTTACATGTGTAACCAATGTGCGGCAGGTCTCCCTTGTAAAAGAGATTGTTGATCTCAATGGGATTTTTTTCCTGGATAAATAAAAGCAACAAAGAAGAAAATAAATTGACAAACATTTAGTATAGTGTTTTTATTATATACAATCAGATTATTTCCTAGCATATGGACCAAACAAATCTACCTCTATAAGACATTGATCCTGTCAGAAACTCTCTCCACGTCCACATATATGACAAATCTGTTAGGCTTAGCCGCAGATCTATAATGACTCTTTTGTTGAGGCACAAAAGGAGGCATGATAAGGATTTAATCCCATCCAATCTGAGCGGCAGATCTGCCTTCCTTCCATCCTACCTTTCCTCTCCAGACTCATTCTGCTGCAGCTTCAGTGGCAGATGGTGGATGAAAGAGGAGGCTGGGAGGAGCAGGGGAATGAGAACAGGTGGGGGTGAAAACCGAAGAAAAAGAAAGGGCACAGGGGTCAACTGGGGCAATAGAAAGGGGGAGGAAACGTAAATATAGACTTGCAGAGGGAACGATCGATTGATGGATTTTTTCCTTTACATTGTGCCTCCCTAAATCTAGTTCTGTTTTTGCCAGATGTCGACCAACTTTGTAAAAACGGGAAAAAAAGTCTAGAATAAAGCTTGGAGAAAGTCAGACATTGGAGCAAAATATAACGGCTGAATTGGCCCTTTTGGAAAATATTTTTGTACAATCAAATTGGTCTCAATGTTGTTTCAATGTACTGTGATACGTTTCAATACAAATATTATCTGAGTTAGAGCTTTGTTTTCTTCTCATGTGGCATGCTTTTTCAACCACATGAATGCAACGTTTCAAGATGAATAGAACAGAGAAGATCAGCCTATACAGGAATGTAAAAACTCAATTTATTCAGTTACAGGTCACTTTCCAAGTAAACCGAACCGAGTTGTATTTTCATTTTAAAGACAGTAGACAACAGTTTTATTTGCACTCAGAGTGAATAATGCCCTTTCAGAGAAGCTTAAGTCTCAGGTTTAAGGGCTCCGTAAAGAACTGAAGGACCACAATGTGAATGCAGCTGCCTATTCAGTACCTCAGCCCCCCCAGACAGTCCCTAATGCTGCCCCCTGCCTTCCAGCTCTGAAGGAAGCCCCAGCAGACCCAAGCCCCCTCCCCTCCTGCTGCGGCACGCCGGGCTGGCCTCGGCAGCTGTTAGGCCAACTGAGGCAGGAGGGGCTGCAGGCAGACAATGCAATGTGACTGAACTCATTATGTGTGTGAGTGTGTGTGAGCGTGTGTCACTGACTCTCTTCCCCCTTTTACAATTTTGGGTCTTTTTACGTGTTAGTAATATATCCTGATGTGATAAACAGACAAATGCACTCCTTTGAGCACCAGTCAATCCTTAACTTAAATTCAGATTCAGAATACTTTAATGTCCATTAAAAGTACATATGGAAATTATGAATAGAAAGTTAAATCATACTTAATCTAGAGGGTCTTGAACATATGATCTTCAGTGATTGCAATATTAAAAGTCTTTTCTCTTGTTTCTTGCAAATGGAGCTGCTGTAAAAATGCAGGCTTGATCTGACAATGATGAAAGTATGTTTGCATCATACTGTACACAGGAAAACCAAATACCCATGGAAAAGTGACTTAATAAAATAAGCCAAACGCCAAGGATACTCATGCAAACCTCTGAAAAGGTATTTTGATTACATATAGTATTGTTGCAAAATACATTGTTGAGAAGAGCAAACTCTGGATATGGTTCATGGTGTGTATCATCACCACTGACAGCAACAGAGCCCCCTGCTGACAGGTCTGTGAACCTGCAACACTGGATGGACATCAGTGTCTGTTGGACCTTCATCTAACAACAGTGTCAACATGTGTCTCAGTAAAGGAAGATCAAATATACTGCAATGTTGCATACATCTGGTGGTATTCTGCCACTTTCTTATTATTAATACATCCTATAATAGTCCATACTCAAATATGTATGTTTATATGTTCATTCTAATTATCAACAGTTTACCTTGCCGTGATATCTTGTTTTATGAGTTACAATATAACTTTATTTTTGTATTACTTTTTTTGTTAACCTCATGTGAATCTGTGCTGTCCTGTTTTTCACTCTCGCTCTGTTGCTGCTTTCCCACCACACTTTAAACTCCTGAATTTCCCCACGGGGTTAATAAAGTTCCATCTTATCTTATCTTAATAAGACCAAAATCAACAACTGTCTTAATTATTTCCAATCATATTGTGTAGTAAAGCCTATTATTGAAGTAAATAAAATATATACATACGAGTACTTTTTTTTTTTTTAAACAAGGCTCAGTATTTCCCTTAATAAAGTGGGCACTGTAGGTATCAGAAAAGGTTAGTGAAAAAGGAGAGATGGCACATTTGTTAGGGACTATTTTCAGAAGCGGATTAATACATTCTGTGCTCTAAAAGATATAAATTTAACATGGCTTGCTGATTCTTAATAGTTTTTGCACGATACATACTGTATATATAATAATATAATAACTATATAATAATATAGTTATACGGCACAGAGGAATAAGATACATCATGATTTTGATACAGAGGTAATACTTGTTAGTATCAATACAATGTTGGTTTTGGTCTTTTCTGAGGAAATATTTTGAATATATTTCAATTCTTTATTCTGTACGGTCTTTTTGTAATGTGTATTACAAATGTTCTGTTTGTACATATGTAAGACATCCTTCATCATTTCTAATTTAATATAACTTGAAATATACCATCATTGAAGACGGGAGAGTGCAGATCTTAACAGAGATGGATTAACACATTCAGATCACTGGATCTATGTCCACTACTAGAGCACCTTATATAGTCACAGGAAGGAATATTACTTCTGTTGTTTCAATAAATCAGAGGTTTATTTAACATTTAAAAAGAAACCTCTTGAAACTTTTCATATTCAAGTGTTGATGTTTGGAATGTAAAAAAAAAGTAAATCAGACAATGACAACTTATTCAGTTCCATGTATTTAAAAAATATCTAACACCTTGTTAAGCTTTCAGACATACAGACCATATAATGGTCAGGTGCGGAAATCCACTGACCATTACAGTTCCTGTGATCATCTCCAGACATTGATGCAACTACAACTTATCCAATAACATAAAACAAAATTAAAAGATCTTTGCAAGTCATTGCTAAAGCATATCGAGGCTTTAAATGTGGTGTAGGCTTGCTCAGTAGCAAAAGGGGAAACTAAAATCTTCTTTCTTTATCGATGTACAATGTAACCCCACAGACAGTAATTCCATCAATAAAATGTTTCTAATAATACAATTTTTAAAACTTACAACAAAGAACCTGTTGAGTACTATCAAAAAGTACAGCAACCAGCGGTGGAGTCCAGAGGAACTCAAATGTTCCTGCACCTGAAGGCCATGTATGTAGTCATACAACAACATCTCTGTTTAAAACTTTTTTGCTATAATGCTGGCCGTCCATTCAGTTTGTCATGCATAAGAGAAATAGCTCCGCCTGTAAAGTCTCTGAGAACCTGTACCGTCTCCCTCTGGAGCTGCAGCGACTCACGCACAAACTCCTGCTGAGTCTCTGCCAGCTGCTGCACCGACTCGGACAGAAGCTCCAGGGAGCGTGAAACCGTCTCCAGCAGGATGTTGGTGGCATGCTGCTCTTCAAGGCTCAGTGATGCATTGTGTAGCATGTTGTCTCTCATGTTCTGCGAGGGCTGACCTGGCAGTGGAAGCGTAGGGGTTGTTGCTGCTGCTGCTGCTGCTGCTGCTGCTGCTGCTGCTGCTGCTGCTGCTGGGCCGGAAGACGATGTCGGAGGTGGTCCTTGTTTTTGGATGCCATTGTTTCCTTGGTGAATCTCTGTTGGTTTTGTGGAAGGAAGCATATCTTCCCTTTGGTCGTCATCTGAGTCTCCTAATGCAGCGTCAACATCTTGAAGTAAAGAGAAAAGGCTTGTCAGTTCTTTCTTATTCTGAAAAAACCTAAATCTGTACTTCAAAGAAGAAACTCACCTTCTGTTGCAGGAATCTCATACTGCACATCATAGGCAGTTTGTGAAGAGTCCTCTGCAACATTCAAAGCATTTTAATGAAACAGTTTGAATGCATTTCTCAACAGGAACTTATTTAAGGGGACCCATTTTACTCATGTTCAGGTTCATATTGGTATTTTGTGCCTGTACTGTTACATGTCTCCTTGCTTTAATGTTCAAAAAGCACTTTATCTTTCTCATACTGCCTGTGCTGCAGCACCTCTTTTCAACCTCTGTCTGAAACCATAGCCCAGTCTGCTCTGATTGGTTAGCTGGCCGGCTAAAAATTCCAACAATTTGCTTGTGTGTCTGTTTCACTTTATGATTTATCTATATGCCACATATTTGTATCCAGTGAGAAAATGCATCCTATTTGCCTTTGAGAAGAGGGTGAAGTGGATTTGCTCTGAATAATTTGGTGTGTGGATTATGTAGACATATGAACTTGCTCTGCTGGAACTGATATCTCCGCGACCAGACTCGGATAAGAGGTAGAATATGGATGGATAGATGAACTTCCCTGATGTTTGGAATTAACTGAAGGTGAGTAAATAGTGACATATGATTGTTTCTGACACTTACTCATTGTGTAGGACATTGGTGGGGGCATAGATGCCCCGTCCAACCCGCCATTAGGAGAACTCTGCATTCCAATAATGTCCTCCTCTTCCATTTCTTCTTCCTCCTCTGGCACATCGTCATCTCCCAGAGGGCCAAAGTCCCCGGAGCTCTGGTCTGCCTCGTCCATCTCCAGAATCTGGAGCACTATTTTTTCCGTCTGATTAAGGTCTCGGGAGAGTCGAGAGTTGAGGCCTCTGTTGGGCACTATCCCTGACCGCATGGCACCCACTTTCCGCTTCGTGTCACATTTTAGATCGGACCATTTCTTGATGACCTCGATGATCTCACGTTGGCACTCCCCGATCTCATTCACACGGGCAGTAATCTCTGCCCATGTGCGCTTCTTTATGTCTGTTGGTACACCACGATTGAATTTGCCTTTGGGGAACAAAACAAAATGACCCTAAGCACTTGCCTTAAAATGATATTGCGTCAGTGATCAGATCTCATTAACATTGTATTTCTCACAGCTTCACTGTAATGTTGACTTTTATATGACTTAACCATTGTATTGGTTACTTGGTTTAATGTTTTTGATTAACAAGCTACTAGCCAATCATCTCATTTCCAGGTACTCAGACCTCAGTGTTATTCTTTCATCTGAATGAAATACGCACTTACCCACAACAACCATACGATGCTTCCTCACTTCGTCCAGCAGTATGTGGACTTCACTGAAAGAGAAGCGAGCTTTTCTTTTCTTGAAGCGAATAAAACTGTCTTGGTTGAAGAATATTGGTGAAGACATCCTCCCCACACAGTGTCAATTGGTGTCCAGCTACTGTGTAGTCTCTGCTGTGCTTCCACTTCTCCTGCTGTCTGATGACAGTTACTGTAACAACAAAAAGCATGGGAGTGTTAATTATGTGATGTATATGAACGTGCTCATGTGTCACAAATATATTGATTCTTAAACTATACTTGCATTTATAAGGTTAGTAATATCGCTCAGTGTCAGCGTTACACTTGTTCGTGCTTAACAGCTTAGCAATAACCGTCCATGCAGATGTATTGAGTTGATCAATATAGATAATACATTAAAATTATCAACACTTTTACTGAAACGAACTTGAATACATATGTCTAAGTGGTCTAATATCGTTAAACAGGAAATGGAGCAAGTTCTGCGCGATGACAACAATGTATGTCTGCTAGCCGTGAGAGTGAATGGACAATGGACGATGCTATCGACGCTTAACACACGGGACAGCCTAGTTAGCAAAAGAGCACTCGTAATTCGCATTACACACATATAATACCTTGATTGCCACATTTCCATGATTATTTTTGAACGAGTATCGGTTATTAAATGTCTCTTATATAGTGCAACTTGCACTTAATACAACACATAGCACACACTAGGTTAGCTCTCTCTGCAGCAGGATAAGGTTAGCTAACGCAACACAAGACTCACAAATGACTAATAAAGCGACAACCTGACGTTTCCTGACTTCCAGACGAATACCTTAATGCCAAACATAGTTATTGAAATGGTGAACATACCCAAAAGTCAAAGAAGTTGGGGTTTGGTCCAGAAACGTAATGATAAACTTCCCTATCTTCAAGATAGCTAATGTCAAGCTAGCCAGAATGCAGCTAACGCTCCTCAAAAGATGTCCGGTTACCCTCAGGTAATAGCTATCTAAAGGCGCTGGCTAAAACAAGTATTGATGAACACATTGATCTTAGTATGGATATAGTTCATGTCGTGTAGGTGTTGTAAACATTTAAGTCTAACAATAACGATATATCTAGCAAATTTGCTAATTGAGTTCACTTACTTTTGTTTCTTAAACATTTCCCGTTGTGACAATGCTTTTATTTTGAAGGAGCCCGCCTTATCTGGTTACGTTGGCTGTCTTGACCATAGACTGTATGGTCTTCTTGACACACACATTCACGCACACACACGCACGCAAACGCACTTTCAAAGCATTTTAGGAATCAGATAGACTACAAGCCTGGAAGAAAAACATTACGGTTGGATGGATAGATAGCTACAAATAGTATTGTAAACATAGCTAAGAACAAAAGTACTGTTCTTAAGTACAATTTTTAGAGACTTGTAGTAAGTAGTATTTCGAATGTTTGCTACTTTGTACTTTTCACTACATTTCAGAGGTAAATAGTGTAGTATAAGTATGTATTACTAAATTTCTTAATATCTTAAATTACTTTACAGATTTGGATGAATGATGTGAAATATAATCAAGTCTTGAATCAGACTTTAGTTCCACCTGGAGTAAATTCACAAGCTACCCTGCAGTATACAACGTCATTATAACTAGATGCACCTTCATCAGCTTTGAGAACACTTTAATGATCAATAATTATAATCAAAACATATAATATAATACTCTGAAATGGACCAATCTGCATAATCAGTACTTCTTTTGATGCAAATACTTTTCTACTTTTACTTGAGTAACATTTTTGAATGCAGAACTTTTACTTGTAACAGAATATTCCTACACTCTGGTACTACTTCTTCCACCTCTGGCTACGAAATATCAGACCCGCCATTGAAGCACTCCTTTGAGCAAACTGTCAACGCAAAAATATTGGCTTTAACTCAATAATTGAGCAAACAAATATTGTTTTGGTAAAACTTTCAATTCAAAATACTGTCACTGTCAATCAGCTGGGCCAGAACAGATCCCCCAATTTAACCATAATGACATTCAATACATGACTGACTAATGATTCAAAGAACAACACACATTCAACATACCATTATTCCAAATATGGCAGAGATTTATTTCACAAAGCATTATTAATAACAGTTTAATGACTGTGGCTAACTACATGTTTAAAAACATTTAATATTGGCATCTTTGCTATTGGCTGCATGCATTAGAGGCATAAACATGATATATATTTTTTTATTTTTTTATTTTAATTTACAGATTGTGCTGGTATTATTTGGTGCAGGCAATTTGAATAAGTACACAGTACAGTGATAACTAATAGTTAGTGGACCATAGAGAAAGCCATGGCCAAGTTGTACTACCAGCATTACACATTACATTTTAAATATGAATTGCCCAACAAAACATTGTCTCTTGAGTTGTTGTTACAAATTACTAAAGGTCCCTGACCCATGTGTGAGTGTACAAATTATAAAACCCTGATCTGTTTGAATTAGGCTGCCGTGCAAGAGTACCATACTTCACATATCAACCTTAAGTTGTTTGATTTTGTCTCATATTGTTGTTTTTGAAGAAGAATCTCCTGTCAATGGGGTTGGGGCTGGTTTCACAAAGATCATTTCATTGTGGTCTAATAAACAGTTGGACTGACGGCCATTTCTATACACTCCTGTGTTGTTGCTCCAATTAGAAAGGGACAACTGCACCCTATGATCTTTATGAGTAAATGGGAGTTGGTGACCTCAAGTGATTCTCAGAATAGCTCCATCCTACTTCAACCTGTTTAGAGGTCTACTCAGCCACAATAACTGAACATAGGTTTATTCCCTGTTTGAACTTTAAGTGGCATTATAGGTGTTAGCAGAGGTGTCATGAGCTACAAGTGCTGTGTTAGCACATTGCACAGCGGCAGACATTAGCTAGCCAGTGAACACAGAGACTTGCATGCATGCGGAAACTAACTCAGTAAACAAAGCACAGAGACACTAGGATTTCAACACTGAGTGGAGTGACCTCATTCTCTGCCCAGGTAGACAAAACTATACACTATCTTTACATAGCTAGTAGTCGTTTGCAGCTCTGAATGATTTATGGTTTGCCATAATAAACTTAAAGGCCCTGCACATCCTCACAGATGTTTTCACTTAGTGTGAAGGGTTGGGTAGTCCTCTGTTCTGGGTGAAATTGGTTGGAGCTTTTTCTTAGAATTGTCTCTGACGTCACAAAGCTTCATGCAGTGATATTAACGCTAAGTGTAAAAAAAACAGCAGAGATGAAGATGCCAATTGAGCAGTCTATACACACCCAGACTGTTCTTACAGGGATATTATCTGGGAAAGATGGAAACTTCTTTGTAGGTGGTCGTTGAAACAAAAAACATGGCCAAATAAGTCACAGCTTAGGATGCAAGGCCATTTTATCCCAGCAATTTAGCATTTGACAGGCTCAAAATAAAACGAGTGTTACAGATCCTTTTAAAGCTGCGTTCCTACTGTATGGAACGGCTACAACAATCCTTTCAACAGCAACCGCACAGAGGACCGTCTACACTATGCCAATTGTAAAGGACACGATGCACCTTTGATGATTCTCCCTGACAGATAAGTGGTCTGCAGCATTTTAACACCGCTTGGAATCTTGGCTGAGGTGCTGATAAAAAGAAATACCATGAACCAGGTACTATCCACTGCTGATCAAAATGGAAAACCAAAACCGAGCAAGTTGAGCCATAGCACGCAGTGGAACGCAGCATAACATACACTATGTAAAACTAATACCAACTCTCGGTTGCAGTAACAATACAAATACTGGCAAATTCTGTCTTTTGAATGTATAATGGGACAGTGAACACAACACTTGCATGCCATTAACATTCAAAGGACACCTGTGCAGGGGGGGGGGGGTTTCTGAGAAAGAAAAAAAACAGGTTAGTAGGGATGGTTTCGAAAATGTGTTGTACTGTGTAGAAGGAAAAAAAAGTGGTTCCATAAAACAAGCAGGAGAGCGGCATCTGGACTCAAGAGTACATGGTCAACTGAAGCCACTGAAAAGACACAAGAGAGAAGGGCTTTAACAATGAATGATTACCATCAACACAATCAAATGTTTTAAAAAATGTAGACTCCAGTCAAAATAATTTAAAATGTGTTTACCTCTTGAACATTGACTTTGATTGTCCCACTGTTATCTTTATCCAGGGTTTTGAAGGCACCTGAATCAGAACAGTTGTTAGGCATCTTCAGTCAGTGAGTCTTATCACACAGAAAAAGCTGCATAACCAATAAATTAATTAATTTAAGCTTACGGCACATGGCATCCAGCCTCACAAGGCAGCCAATGTAGTTGTCAAAATCCATGTTCCCACCTTCATCGCTGTATCTGCGAATGATCATGTTGAACAGGTAGTCGTTGAGGGGGAAGCCTGAGAAAGTGATGAACAGATGAAACGTTAACTATTATTCTGAAAAAGTTTTACATAGGTTTCTGTCCTATGAAACGACTATGCAAATAATTTTCTGTTTCTAACAAGCACAGCCACATGACTGTTGACAGTCAATCTAAAAGGTCTTGTTAATTCTTAATGCATCCAAGATGACCGTTTTACATGTGGCTTCTATCACTGGTATTGATAATGTAAGTAACTATGCAAAAGGGGAAACATTTTTTAAATAAATGTAAAAAAGGAAATTCACCTGCAGCTGTGAAAGCGCTGGGCAACTCATCTGCACCGATGACACCGGAGCCATCTGCGTCATAGGACTTGTACACGCCCTAAACAATTACAGTACAAAAGTATTTAGAGCATATAAGCCATGAAAGATTCCTAGGAAGTTGATTCACAACCTCAAGACCAGTAACAATTATTTCTCTGTAACAACCTGAATGGCTGTCAATATGGAGGTATATGGTCTGCATTTATACGGTTCTTTTCTAGTCTTTCAACCACTCAAAGTATTTATTCAACACATTCATACAATATAAAGTGCCAGTTGCTCACCAGGAGCGATAAACATCTCACACTCAAGAGTCTTTTAAATGGACACTTCAACATGTTGACTGCAGGGTTTGGGGAATCAAACCAGCAGCCTTCTGGTTGGTGGACAACAACTCTACCACCTAAGCCAAAGTTCTAAGATCAATAAACAGCTGATACTGTATATAAATTGTTTTAAAATATAGTTTCTAATGTGTTCACCGTTCCTTGAGATGTTTCAACACTGATCACGGTAAAGTTACTGTTCAGAAACATAAGGGATAGTACAAATGAAATGGGTCTGCTGTACTTGCCTGCCATTTCTTGACATTGTTCCAGAGGTGTTTGAATTCATGAAAGCCGAGTTTTCCAGTGCTGTCACTCTGAAACAGCATTAAGGACAACAGAAACGTTTTTCTTCTTTGGCTCCAGCTTAGCCAAACAGTGGCACTACGTGTGGACATGCTATATTTGCACTAGGCGTGTATTCATGTAGTATACATTTCACAGTAGGGAGAGAATATTAACTTTTTTCTATTACATATTTGCAGGTGAGGTTTACTCTACAAATAAAATGGATCACTTATTCACCTTTACACAGTCATATTAGTTGCAATTTATATTGGTTATATTGGTTTGCAAAATCTTAAAAAACAAGGTCCTGTGAAAAATGGTAGTGTATGCTTTCATTTGAAAATCTTAAAAAACATTTTAATGAGTATTACATACCTGAACTCTGTAAAGAACATCCATCTGTTTGCATCTTGCAAATTATTTATCTGTATATCATATTCCATTTACTTTACATTTCTTTTGTTTTATTTGTTTATGTTCTATACATTTATGTTACATTGTTGGAGGAGCCTGTGACTTTAGTTGTTCATTGCCATATGTACACTGTAGCTACTGAACACATGACAACAAAGCCTTGAATCTTGAAATCTTGAATCTCTCCTTTATACTCTGCCATCTATGTCAACAGAACACACAAAGCCCACATATGAAATAAAGGATACATCCATGACGGCCACCATGCTTCTACACGACTCAATACTGAAACCATCCGTCTTCAGGTCTCCATCTAAAATAGGATAAAACATGCATTCACCATGTGGTAAATCTCTTATAAAGACACATAACGTTTGTAAATGACAGAATGACAGAGAACAAAGAGCTACAAGGAATACACAAATGGATTTGTAGGAGAAGGACTCTGAGGCCCCGGCCACACGAGGACGCATACGGCTAAACGCATAGGATTAACGCAAACGCAAAAAAGCTTCCGTCCACACGCAATGTTCACCGGATAGGGTCTGTCGCCATGAGACAGCTCCGTTTAGCTCCAACCGCTGGAGAAGCTGCAGTACATATGCAGGAGCCTGTACGTGGCGCTGTAACTTCCTCCACAAAAGCAGTGAAGAAGCATGGTTGTCATGGTTGCCCTTCTGTTTATTCTCCGCGGTGGGGGCCGAGGGAACCGGGCAGAGTTTTTCGCCAGTCAACGTGTATTAAAGTTATTTATTGAGCTTTAAAACAAATGAATAACGAATCTATATAATATAATAATAAAATACACGGAGCCTCTCTTTTTCCTCCCTCTCTTCTGACAGCGTCAGTGTCTGTCTCATGCAGCAGCTGATCCAGTAATGAGTGACCCGACAGTAAAAATAAACATATTTATAACTAGTTCTATATGACGGTCTATATGACACTAAACAGTAACGCAAACGACCGTTTTCGTCCTCGTGTGGCCGGGGCCTGAATGACATGTCTTACGTTTTGAAATGATTCTGTTCATGATGTTCATCAGCTCACATGGGCTTACTTCCATGTCCTATATGACAAATATTAAACAACATTACAAAGGCAGCAGAAACCTGTACATACACACATTTTGATGTTCTTCTCCAATTAATTGAATACTGTGTATATCTGAGTGTGAACTGCAGAAAACAACAGAAATTCTAAGAGAAGTGCAGGTAACCCTTATAACACTCACTTCTCCAGCAAGCTGCTGGAAGACTCGGCGGAACTGCTTCTCCTCATCGTTCTCGTGCTGCTCTGCATATACAGCAGGCCTGCGGGGGGGAGGCTGCGGGGGGAGGCACAGATACCATTACAATCAGAGTAAGCAGAACAGTGATGTCTACAAAGAGCTGGTAATGTAAAGCCTGTCACTCACAGGTTCAGAGGGGATGAACTGGGCTGGGTCGATGTTGCTACAAACACAGGGTTCAAAAACGGAAAAACACAGGGTTCAAAAACAGAAAAACACATTTAGCTACAACAGTCTCTTTTTGGCTTGAAAAGGATAGACTTTGTGCAGATACTCACCTGACAACATCAATGACGCCACTGAGAAACTTTTTGGCAAAATTCATCTTCGGTCAACTGTAAATGCAAAATCAGTTAATTGTATGTCACTTTGGCTGAAAGCGTCAGCTCAATGCAAAGTAATGTTATTAAGATAAGATCAACTTTACTGATCCCCCTCGGGGGAATTCAGTTGTTAAAGCAGGAATGTGATTAAGACACAGGATAGGACAGGTAAGAATTCACACAAGGATAATAAGAATTCAAAAATAAGGAATGTAAGTTACAGTAAATATCAGAATAAAATTAATAGAATTAGGTAAAACTGTTCACATATAGGCCTATACATAAATGGATAATTATGAATACACAATTCAACACGGGGGGGATCATGGAATAATGCACGTGTATGTGCATAATTACAATCAAATAATTAGAAATGATGGCAACGAGTCATAAAGCAGGAGTAGATGGAATACCAAAAACTGCACAGTATAAATTAAATAATATATTGTTAATGTCAACCTCTACAAAGAAACACTGATTTTAAACGCGGAACTGGTTAAACTTGTTACCCTCAGGCGATGGCATGTCCTGTGTGTTCCTCGATCCCCGTGTAATTATTACTGGCACACTCTCTAACGCTACCCTTCTAAAATGTTTCCTGTTATGGAATTGTATTGCCGCACCCAGATTGCGAAAGTTAACGTGCATAACTCCACAGAATATGGAGCTAACGTTAAAGTGGGTTAGCATTTAGACATTAGCATTGTCCTATTTGCTTATATTACTAAACCACTCGCTAATTAAACATTGTGTTATGGTAAACCGTGCAACCTGTTTCTTAACAGTTTGGATAGAACGCAGCAAGGATGGCCTGTAAGGATGCTAACGCTAGCTAACTTACCCGTGAGCTAACTATCATTAAGCTAATTTAGATGGTAGATAGGGCATCAGCAAAGCATTCAACAAAACATGGAATTATAGTGTTTAACAATGGTATCATCTCACATTAGTTAGAAGGTTAACGGTCATTTAAAACTGGAAGTTTATATTTAACCTTACCGTAAGGAGACAGCTTCCCTGTAAAGTTGATAGCAGGATATTGTTGGGCTAAATAAACTCAGCTGGCAGCACGGACACGCCCCCAGCACAGCGCGTCAGAGAGGAGGGGCAGGTTTCAGTGAATAAAACAAACGGGTGGACACATCGTTTCATTATAGTAGTATGTCTGTCAGTCTGTCTGTCTGTCTGTCTGTCCGTCTGTCTGTCTGTCTGTCTGTCTGTCTGTCTGTCTGTGTGTCTGTCTGTCTGTTAAATACAGCTTCAACCTGTATGTAAACAGGCTAAAAAAACAAAAAAATAATACATTGCTATAGAATTCAATTGGGCTATAAACTCAAAATTAAAACCCTTGTTTAGGGGTTGTCAAATAAGCTTTTACATTCCAATGCTGTTAGTGCTCAAATGTAATTAATTAATAAAGTCTTTACATGAATATGTTCTGTGAAAGATGATGTCACTTTTCATTGCGTCATAATCTTTGATGTATTTCTTCTTTCTCTATTTATATATTTTGTATTTATTTTAGTGTGGCGTAAAATCTTTATAGCACGTTCGTTCCTTCCATTTGGCTGGATGTCATTAGAATAAAAAAAAAATGGCGAAAATATTGATGAATTAACATATTTAAAAATGACTTTCCTTTTGTTATTCCACATCAGAATGTCCTGATTTATTTCAGCTAAACATTTAATTGAAGAACAGGAGCAATTGCAACGACAGGCAGCAAACACAGGAGGTAAAGCGGACGTCATCAACCAATCAGTAGTTTGGTGGGTCAACTCCGGGCCCTGCAGTCTGGATTTCATTGTGTCCTTGGACACGTTTATGTCGCTAAGACTAGAAAAGTGCTAGAGGAAAATTGCAGTCCCTGGTTCGATCTGCATCTCATTTCCCCATCTTTGTGTTCTAATATTTCAGAACTGACGACTTATTAATTAATTATTAGCTAATTAATTAAGCACAGACATGTTAATAAAATGAAAAAAAAGCCACAAAACTATGCAGTTTTTTTCTTCAAACACTGGCACAAAGATCAAAGGTCAACTCCAAATAACTTACACAGTCTTCTTCCTTTTTGATCAAGCTGCTTCTAAAACCAGCAGGTGGAGTAAGAGAGCATGTGACAGAGCTGAGTTATAGCATTTTTGCAACATTTTACTGTATATTCAGCATTTAGCAAAAGAAAGGTAGGCTATAAGTAATTTACATAAATCTAAGTCTGTCTAACATTAGCTCAATGAAGCCATGGCTGATGTCACTGGTTTCCTGAAGTGAACCACTTCATCTGCACTGCTGTATTTCAACAAGGCTTATAAAACCGTCTCTGCCTGATGTTTTTGACTCAAATTGAGGCTTTCTTTTAAAGAAATTGCAATTTTTTATCATGACAGGGTTCTCGTAAGCCTTCAATATTTGTTTTCATGAATCAGTTTGAAAGAGGATCCTAGACACAAATTCTTATAACATATGAACAATTTGAGAAACTACATTCTAATACTGCTGAAAGAAAATATCAATAATTCACTGATATATTCACTGATTTCCCCTGAAATATGGACAGTTGTCAAAAAAGCGATGTATCTAGTGATTATTCTGAGTCTCTGACACTTTGACAGTTGAGTCTCTTTTTTTCTGACTTGAACACATCTCAATGGTCTCAGAGCTGCGCTGTTTTTATCAGAAGCTACATCTCCTCTTAATCCCTCGTGGCCAGCACTATCTGTGTTTCCTTGACAGTGACTTCAGTCTCAGTACTAGGCTGTCCTCCTATCTCACACACAGAACAAGGATTCATGAATACAACTGCAACATGTCCATGAATAACATGTCAAATCGTATTTGTTCTAACTTTTTCCCGCCCTTAAAAGCTCTTTTCTGTAAACATTTCTTAGGACAGTTACATCTATGGCAGTGACCATAAATATTATTCAGTTTTATTTCCTTGACTTCTACTATAATCTTCCTCCAATTAAATATTCTTTACCTGCTGACACGTGCTCTGCCAAACTCTATGCTTGATTTTCAAAAATCCTTTTTGCTGCAGTGTTTCAATACATCACGTTGATATTTAAGATGTGATAATGTATGATCTGCAGTGCAGAAACACTGATGTCTGTCCTTCAGATCCCACTCCAGCTAAAATTACTCCATCCATGAAATAGAGGTATCCATGGTTACATCAGGAGCCATGTTAAAGGGTGCCACAGTGTATCTCTATTCTCTGGCAGTCCCCACCTTTTTCCTCATTCATCATTTGTAAGAAATCACATTGCGACCTCAAGGTTTCCGACAGCTACGATCTGGTTTTGCAAATGAGATTTGCAGTGAATAATTCTAATAACATTGATGAAGATAGAATGGCTATTAAATGTCTCTGAATTATGTATGCAAACCATATTACATCTGCAGTTACCTGTGAGGATTGCAGGGAGGGAAATGCAGAGCTTATATTTCAGTGCTACCAAGGCTGCAGGTTGGAATATTGTATAGGAGCCTCCCCAGCACCACATATTTGCAGTCTTCAGAACTACTTGTTACCTTGACAACGCACATTTATCATTCAAGCCCATTGCTACCCTGTCTCACAGCAGGAATCAAAATGTGCCTTAAATGTTTACTGCAGCAGGATTTTACACCTACATTTAACATAGAATTGAGGGGTTAGATGGGCTGAGATTGTAAATTATGTTAAAGCATCTGAATGTTGCAAAAAGTGCTCTTTAAATACACTCCATCTACCATTTCACATGTGCAGGAAATTATTTCATTCCGTCGTTGCATAAACGACAATGCAGGTGGATTTGAACACCTTTAAAATGGGATGGAGGTGCTTTGGATCTAAAGTGTTGAACAAAATGACGATGGTTTGAGCAGATACTGGATGATACACTTAAAAAAGAAGACATAATAAATACTGAAAATGCTGTTGGTTTTCATAGTTTTTCAACCATGTACACATCGAAAGTATTCATAGTTTATTTAAATAGAGGGTTGTATTAAGAATTTTTAAAACATTTAGTTCATAAGCTCAAACCTTTTTCTTTACAGGGAGTTTTTCACATGTGTTAACCTCTAATTTCAGGTCACTTTATGCATTTATGGTCCGACATTTATTTTGGCATAGGCCGGGGCCCGAATAGTTTCCTAACACAGAGTAAAACACTGCCGAGAATGGAATTCTTGTGAAAGGTACTCAAATCTGAACAAAGGAATACTATAATTTTGACTGTAATGTATAAGCGCCTCTATCAGGCTCCACAATAAAGGCTTAACCCCTCATTCAAACTAATACAAATGTCCCTGCACCATAATGTACATATTTGACTCGCACTTTCAAATTGATATTATTATATATTTAACATATCCATTATACATATCTGTATGTATACATCTTTGATTGAATTGATACCTGCATTTCTTTATTTATATAACTATTATCCTTGTATGAATTAATATCTGCCCTATGGGGCGACTATGGCTGCGAGGGAGTGCAACCAGAAGGTTGTGGGTTCGATCCCAGCCCAAGCAGTCAACATGTCGATGTATCCTTGGGCAAGATATTTAACCCTGAGTTGCTCCCGATGGCATGGCCAACGGTGTGTGAATGTGTGTGAATGTGTGTGAATGTTAGGTCCTAGAGTAAGGTACACTGCTCTGTATGAATGGGTGAATGACATGTAGTATGTAAAGCGCTTTGAGGGGTATTAAAGACTGGATAAAGCGCTATATAAGTACAGTCCATTTACCATTCCTATCCTGCGTTTCACTGATTGCTGTTGCTGCTAAAACACCTGAATTTGAAAGGTTTATCTGGGACTATAAACAAAGCTCATGTATGGTTTACTTCAATTATATAAAATATATTTTAATACTTAGAACAGTTATTGGATTGAGCATCCTTAATGAGCACCAGTGTCAATCTGACCTTTGCCATATTCTTACTAAAGTGACGGCGTCCACAGCTATGCATAGCTGAGATTAATGCAATGTTGGACTGCAATTCATTTCAGATGCTAGTCAATTATATAATCCACCTCTTTAACAACAAGAAGGATTCTCAAATGCTTCTGATTAATACCTCTTTGCTTAAAACTATTTTTTTTTTTACCCCTAGGGTCATGATTATGTTTAAATCAGGATGAATTCTAATGACTGGACTACCATCTGGACTACCATCAGGCAGGCATTCAATGTATGAGCCTAAATATAGTCCAAAAACCTGGAGTGTTTATCCCAAGATGTAAGTACGAACCCAGATGAACATATATGCTAAGAATGAGCATTAAGACCTGACACACACTCATACTGACACACACACTCACACAGGTGTCTAACGATGTGTGGGTGTCTACAGACTGTTCCCGGTTTTTGGCTCACCATCTGACTCCCATAAAGTCCCCATTGTCATCCATACAGATGAAATCAAGCAGGGAGCTTCATACAAATACTTGGGTGTAATAATTGACCATTTGCTGTCATGGAAGGATCACATTGAATATCTGTCAAAAGGACAAAACAAAGAATTTATTTTCTCCGCCGTCTTAGGTCTTTTGGGGCGAGCAGAGAAATTCTTCTGTTGTTCTTTACATCTGTGATCATGTCTATTCTGCAGTACTGCAATACTACCCGGTACAAATGTTTGTCAGCAGCTTTAAAATCAAAACTGCTCCACCTGTTAAAAATCTGCTCAAAGATTGTTGGTCAACCCTGTCAGAGACTCTATGACTCAGCCTATCATAACAACCTAGTGAGGCTGTCCAACAACATCATCTCTGACCCAAACCATGTTCTGAAGTCTGAACAGTGAATATGAACTGCTACCATCTAATCGGAGATATAGGGTCCCACGATTCAATAAGGTCAGACTGAAGCACTCCTTTGTGCATCAGTCAATCCTCACAGTAAATACAGAGCTAAATCCCAGATCAAATGCACGCTGAAGGCTCTTTGAGCATGTTTTCTCTCAGTGATTGTGCTGTTATGTTAAATGTTTGTTGTTTGTGTTTCATGTATTGTGTCTGGATACTTGTCTGTTGATGTTGGACATGGAGCTGCTGTGACGCAAGTCAAATTTCAGACTTGATCTGACCAATAAAGTAT